GAGTCCCCGCCTGCTCCCGGGTTAAAACATGTTGATGTCTTTTCGCTTTAAATACTAAAAATAATACATTTATTCTTTATCGATATTTTATATTATTGATCATTATTTAACATCAGTGGTGCACACAAGGGGGAGTCCGGACCCCCCAAACCATTGATTTTTTTCCGATTGATTATAATTCTAAGTTTATAGTACGCAAAATTTAACTAAGTATTTGTTATTAATGATTAATTTTATTAATTAATGCTAATTATTTATTCAAGAATTAGTTTTTTACTGTGTTTTGTTCCCGAAAATCGACAAAATCAAAAGGAACCTGATACAAGATTGGTGAACTTTCGACCCGGACCCACCCTTGAAAAATTCTTGTGTGCGCTACTGTTTAACATCAATTATAAATGCTAATTCTGTGAGGCTTAAAATTACAATTCGCTTAAAACTAATTATAATGTGAGCAACCATTTTAAAAAAATCATTTTACGTTTTTGTAAACATTGTCGAGCACTTGACTTTGCTTCCCTTACAATTCAGCTATTATATCAATAATGTTTTATTTTCTTATAAATGAACTCGTGCAAAGAGCGGGCACTTCAGCCGGTATACTTTTAATTTATCAGTGCTGCACAGAATATTTTATAACTAATTAATTAATACTAAATTAAGAACAAGTTTAATAAGTACTAATGACTTCTATGAGCTTGTCTTGGAAAGCAAAGTTTTTATAAGGAATGCTTATGATTAGAAATTGACCCTCTGAGATCTTTTTCTATATTTAGCAGATATCTATATTTTGTCTTCTAAGCAGCTACCGCATTTTGTAATATGTTCAATTTAAAAATTAGAGAAAGGAAAAATAACATAATAATTATCCTATTATTTTATTTATTTATTTATTTTGCTTAAAAGTAGTATACAAAATTTTTAATATTTATGTTACTAATTTGTATGGTTTATAATTAAGATCGCCTATTGTAGCTTTAGCGTCAAAGTTCATTATTATTGCATTCAGTACATTATTAATGTATAAGGGGGGCACGAAAAAAATTGTGATCGAAAAGGGGTTGCCAGTATTGAAAGTTTGAGAAGCACTGCTCTAAGCTATCATTCACTTCAGTCACTTTTTAACTAGACGTTTAGCACTGAGCACTACTATAATCAACTCCAGTTATTTTGTGTTTGTTTTTGTTGATTAAAATATTTTATAATTTGTTAATCTTATTGAATAAGGGAAACAAAGTTTTCCGAAATACATATACATATTGTGCTTATATTCATTTATTTTAATTCTGTATAGTTTATGTAATGTTCAGGGACGTCTTAAGACTTTTTGAGACCCTGGGCCCCAACTCAAAAGTAGGCCCTGGGCCCCTGCTCAAATGTAGGCCCCACCTATGACCCTTAAAAGTAAGCAGTACATAGGATATGTTGTCAAATACTCGTGCAAACAATAATCCGAAACAAATAAATACGGATGACTTACAATCGCACAAACCGGCTCGACCAACTGCAACCTTTTGACAGAATTAGTAATGATGGAGAATGGTGGTAGGTTTAGGTCTGTACATAGACGACGGTCATCACAAGAAACCAGTTGACATATTGTCTGACATTCCCAGTTTTTCGAAGAATACAACCGTAAGTAACATTTGACCGTTGAAATTATTCCAATTATGATCTTCTTCAGACTAAGTCGAGAACGAGACGAGGTTCTGGCCCATACCTTCAGACGTAATGTTAGAAGATGTATTTTATGTATGTAATTGTACTATGCATTTCTTGTCCTATACAATATGCGTTTATTTGCACTTTGGATATTCAATAATAAGACGAGGGGCCTCATGTGTCGAATTAGTAAAAGTGTATCGTGTTTACATTGCCTACAAATGATTCCTCTTACGAATCTGCACATATTTATTGTACGATAAAAAATCTGGAAAATTTAGCAATTTTTCAGAAACTCCTGGTCATTTTTAAACATGAATTAATGTCAGTTGGATTTAAAGCCAGTTTACATTTTCCGAAGAGCTGAAAAGTGATAATATAGCAAACTAATGTAAGTTCATTCAATCTGAATAACATACATTTTAGAGCAATTCCTAATACATGTTTTTCGGTTTCGATATGTTGGGCTATCAAATAAAAAAAACTGTATAGTTATTTAATGAAAAATAAAATGCATAAGAAATACTTAATGCATAAAATTCGGAGAAATCATTTAAACTACGAGTATTAGCTAACCTTAAAGAAAGGAAACTTTACGACCATAAAAATATCAATTCTTAAAGCTGGAACAATATTAGAAAACATGCTTGAGCAGAATAAATTTAAACATTTGCTAAATTTTTAAATACAAAAAATACCTTGATTAGCGCTAACTCATTACAAATGTAACACGAAAGTTTTGAGATTTCTCCGTACAGTAGACTTCTTGCTATCTTATATCATCCACAAAAATTTGATAAAAATCATCTGTTTTTAAATAATTTTATGAAATAAATCTATGAGATTTACATCAGGCGAAATATTTAATCTTACAAAAAAATAATTTTGTTACCGCTTTACAAGAAAGTACATGAGTTCGTGATGAAATTGGAGTCTTTCTGGACTGATTTGAAATATGTCCTTCCAGCGTTATTAGTTATTGAAAATATAAGAGAAGGCGCATATATATATATATATATATATATATATATATATATATATATATATATATATATAAGGATAATTAAATTAGATTAAAAATTAAATTCCCTATCTAGCACACACTTGACTCATCTTTCTCAGATCACATCTTCAAGTATCAAATTAATCACCAATTTATTTCTTCCGAACATATGGCCTAGCCAATAAACATGTCTAATTCCAGATTGTTAGATTTAATAGTCAACATATGTCAGCATTAACTTTCAAATACCCTTTTCAAATCCGTGATACTTAACACATATTTTTCAAGTGTTATCCACATGAAACCACCACCATGGCGGGCTTTTTTCCTCCCTGCTCTCAGTGTCAGAATAGATGTAGAAATGATTGAATAAAGAACGTCTTTTTCATTTTTCTAACTTTTAATCTGATTCTGTCTTCAAAATCATGACATATAAATATATATATATATGTGTAAGGATAATTAAATTAGATTAAAAATTAAATTCCCTATCTAGCACTTAACTCATCTTTCTCAGTTCCCATCTTCAAGTATCAAACTAATCACCCATTTATGTCTTCCGAACATATGGCCTAGCCAGTAAACATGTTTAATTCCAGATCGTTAGATTTAATAGTCAACATATGTCAGCATTAACTTGCAAGCAACCTCTTCAAAGCAGCGATACTTACCATATGTTTTTCAAGTGTTATCCACTTGAAACCACCACCATGGCGTGCTTTTTACTCCCTGCTCTTAGAGTCAGAACAGATGTACAAATGATCGAATAAAGGTCTTCCTTTTTAAAACTTTAATCTGGTTCTGTCTTCAAAATCATGACATATATATATAGTATAATAAAATAAAAGTGAAGAATAACTAGAACACACAGTACTAAAGAAGTAAGAAATTGGAATTCAGCAAACACAACAAAAGTAGATGCAAAAAGTCATAGGACTAAACTGGAGACCTATTATGATTTCTAAAGCTGTCGCTATATATATATATATATATATATTCAAAAATTAAAGAGGAAAATAACTTGCTTGCTTTATTATTATAATAAATAAGCACGGATGGGTACATAAATATTTACAGACTGTGGGTTAAAGTAAACCTCATTTATCAGTGCATCAATATCTTTTAATCAGTTGGTTTGCCGCAGAAAGCTCTGCTATTGTTAGACAATGCATTGAGTTACTCCAGAGGCTAAATAACCATCTAATTCAAACAGTAATAAATTAATCACTAACTTTTTAAATGCTGAACCTACTTTTTATTTTGCACGTGCGATTATTTAAAAACATTTTTGTTATCCAGAATTCTCCATTCATTTTGGATAATTGAGAGCCTACTGTACATAGCTTTTCTCAATGTATTTCAATTTAATCAAAGTACATAACGTTTCAAAACTTAAACGTGTTTGTTATTAGTTTTTTTTTCAGAATGAAATCCAAACACAAATATTAAATGAATTATTGCTAGTTTTTGCTGTTGCTTCAGCAGTCCATTTCATTAACTGGCGGTCTGTATAGCATAATGGAATAAGCGGAATCTCCGATGTGTCAGAAGTTGGTGAAGCATTTTAATATTAGTTCTATTTTTGAATGGAATTTAAAAGAATAGTTAGGATTTGAAAGAGCCAAGAAATTATACCTAAAATAAAAATTCCAGCCCAAAAATGCAATTAAGAAAATAAAACATACCTAACACAAAGCCTGTCGTATTTGGTAATTAAAGAGAGATATCCTGGAACACTATTTGTTCACGCCTCTTTTTCAAACACTTAAAACAGTCAATCAAAATTTTCCCCTTAGTTTAGATCTTCGGGAGGTAACCTGAGATATCTTACTTATCTTTTTGAAATCAAAGCCCATGGTTCCTAAGAAAAATGTTTCGAAAAATTATAGTTTAAAAAAACCCCAAAAAACACGCTTTTATAGTGAATCGAACTAAAAAGTAAATAATAGCTCTTAATATAAGTATAAAGCGATTAACGAGAAAATTAATGTCATTGGGATAAAAGCGTGAGGTGCTCTATATTAATTGTTATAATTTCTAACTATAGTTCTATTCCGAAATGCTGAGTTAGAGTAAAAATGTAGTACAAAGGACACCCCACGCTTTTACCACAATGACATTAATTTTCTTTCGTTAACCATTTTATTCTTATATTAAGAACTATTTTTGAAGTTATAGTTCTTATTGGGAGTTTGGGAAGAAGGATGAGGGCAAATTTTTACGATGCGCGCGCACAGGATGCGAACATGCTTTGTCTAGAAATATACAGAATAGGACAGATCATTTCCGCCTTCGAAATTCTCAGAACAAACACTTCTCTTCGCTTCACTGAAGAAGAAGGTACCCAGGTTTGAACCGGGATCTCTCGACCTGCAGACGAATGCTCTACAACTAAGCTATACCCTCGCATCAGCGAACCTTTGCTTTGCGTTCCGTAGGAACGGATACGAAAATGCCTTGTCTACAAATATACAGAATGGGACAGATCATTTTCCCGCCTTCGAAATTCTCAAAAAAAACCAAAAACTTCTTTACTATATTAGTTATACTTCTTTTGGGGAGTTAGGGAAAAAGGATGAGGGTAAGTTTTTACGATGCACGCTCACACCGTCACGGATGCACGCGCACACCTTCACGACATACCGTGCGCACACCGTTGTATAATACAATATTTTAAAATGCCACTTTTTTGGTGCAATGGGAATGATATTTGGGGGATCATAAAAACTATTGTTATAAATCATATCTGTTGGGACGCATTCCCCCTATGCATTACTTCCCTCTACAGTTTTTTGGCCAATATCTCGGCACCCGAGCATCATGGTCCATTCGAACCTGGCTCATTCGATCCCTCTCTATCTGCTCTTCCAGTTATTATAATTTCATGTGTGTGTGTGTGCTCATAGGGTTATTTCTTCCATAGTTTTTAAATGTTTTAAACTTTTTAATTTGTTTAAATTCACAATATTTTGGCTCCTATTCGAGTTTGGGACTTGAGATTTGATCCAACTGTTCCACTCGTCGAGACCCATCTAGTCATCTACTTCATTCCCATTGAGTAAGGGGGAGGGCTTAAGCACTCAAATATCATGTTCCCATTTTAATCCTATGGGGACTGGAAAAAATTTCTCCCCCCCCCTTCAAGCAATTGAGCTTGGAACTTGATTTTTGGTGGTCCGCCATATTTTCATATTAGCGTGAGCTTTACGTGGAATTGGCCCCTTCCCCTCCTACAGGGCTTTCCCAGAAATAACTGGAATCCTATGCCACCTTGGTCAACCGCACCGGCTGGATTCAATTGTTCTTCCTATGAGCACCCTAGATATATTTTTTTAGGACCATAGTCGCATTTCTTCACCTATATTTAACATTTTAAAATTATTTTAAAGTTATAATTTGTTTAAAATCCCGCATAGCTCCGAGGATTTTTGAGATTCGTTAATGAAACACAGACCATAGGTTCTCGTTGAGCTGTTTCATGTGTTATAATTCGTGTGTAGACAGTGGGCTTAGGGGGGCATTATCACTAAAGTTAGAATCCCCATGTTATTCCTATGGGGTTCGATCTTTTGATGACGTAACGATATTACAGAGATAGAAGGATGAAACTTTGGGCTCACTTACTACTCTGTATATCGCTGGGATGTACGTGACCATTTACGTCACAGTTGAAACCCCCGGGCGAGATAGTTTCGTTTCCTTTTCCCGAGCTAGCGCCGCCTCATTTGCAACTACAGACTCTGGACCGGATCGAATGGATTCCTTTTGTGTTTCCTCACAATTATGCCCAGTTTCGAATTGATGGATGCCCTGCTTCTATTTTATTTAATTGTTTTAAATATTTTAATTATTTTAAAATGACCATAACTCGGGGACTCTTCAGGCAAATGTCTTAATTTTCTCAGGAACGATTCTTCCAGCCGAGACATTCAATGTGAGGTCTCAAGTGTCACATTCGGTTCAACTCATATCCAGGTACAGTCTGCCGAACCCCCGTGTTGATTGTCCTATTGTCCCTGTGCGGGGGTGTTTAAATTTATTTAAATCATGATTATCTTGGGTTTGGCTGGTCCAATTGACTGAAGGTTAGTATCGTTCAACTCTGCTCGTGACCGCCTTTCGTTCTTGGCCCAGCTTGCTCTGCTCAAGATTTTTAAAATTATTTTAATCTTGTTACGCCAAAGAAGTATAACTTCTTACGTGCGTACATAAGTACACACACACACTTTTTTTTAATTTTTAGTTCAATTCACTATAAAAGCGTGTTTTTTGGGGTTTTTTAACCTTTTATGTACCGCATTATGATTTACTACAGTTTTTTTCATGCAATATTTTTTTTTAAAATCACCACATTGAAAATTAAGGGATATACTTAAACAAAATACTTAACTTTGGGACATTTAATTAGTTTGAGCTAATTAATTAATTAAAGATATTCAGCTGTAAAATTAATTATATACACTGTTCACTTAAGATAAATAGTCAAATTGTTTTCTAATGTTTGCATTAACATACAAAAAAAAAATAAGACACTTACCTTTTGACATTAACTATTTTTTTCGGAACAAAATGACAATCTTCGCAATCCGTTGAAAACGCAATTTGTGCAATAAAACTATCCTCCTTCCCTTCCAAAATACTCATCATAGAACTCGTGCTGCCATATACCTTGGAAGAGTGGATTTAAAAGAATATTCCTGCTAAGTATCGTCAGAGTATTCGTAAAAATGGTTATGCTATGTAATTTTAAAGTGAGTGGTACTTATAAGTATCATCGGTAGATAAAGGGTTAAACTATAACTTATTTTTCATTTTTTAGTTCGATTTACAATAAAAGCCTGTTATTTTAGTTTTTAAAGCTATCATTTATTCTTTGTTGAATTTTTATCCTTGAGTTTGATATTTGGAACCTGAATTATGTGGCTGCTGGAATTAGTCTTGCTCTTCAATGGATATTTATTGACGTGTCTGAAGGGTATTTATTCTCGGCGTTTACGGGGTCTCGAATGAATCCCCTATCGTTATATTTTAAAGATTCCGTCTCTATAGATACAGGTCTAACTAATAAAAGTGAGTCAAGAAGAAATATTAAATGTCAATAGTATTATCACATTTTAAACGTATGACTATAATGTTAATTCATATCATCACTTTTAAACATATTGCTTTATCAAAATAAAAAAAATATTTAACAGTTAGAACATAAATTTATCACCTTTTAAACGTATTGCTATAATGTTAATTCGTATCATCACTTCTGAACTTCTCAACGTACAAATATTTTTTATAAAAATAAAAAAATATTTAGCAGTAAGAACATAAATTATTTTTATTCACATGCACGAATCTTTTTTTTTATTTCCATTTTCAGAAAAACTACGAACCCTCCCTACCCTTTTTCACATAAAGAACACTTTTAATTTGTTTTATTTGTATTAACCAGAAGCCTTTTTGTGGTTTTAGGGTTGCTCCTTATTCTTTTAGTCGCCAAATATGGAATTAATTGCCAAATCTGAAAATGGTTTATGCAATCAATCGCCAAATCTGGAAACGATGTAATGATTTATAGTCGCCAAATCTCGAAATCCTAAAAATTTTAATTTATGAGGATCAACAAACAAATGTCGGCACTCCCTCATGCACTCGAAAACCACGTTCTCCTCCCCACTTATTGCCTGAACTAAAAGCATTTTGTAAAAGCTACACACTCTTCGTATTCAGCTACGTGTGTTTTAAAAATGGTAAAAGCTTTTTATAGTTCTTTTGGACTCAATAATTGTACCGATGAGTCTGGCACTTCCTTTCACCCTACGACACTATCTTTTCAATCAACTTTGTGTTTGCGTGTGATAGGAATTATCTCCCCTCTTCACAATAGAGTGGTGACAGAAAACGAGTTGACTGGCACAAAGACTCCTCGTGTGAAACCAGCCCTAGTCCTTCCACGTCGGTACTTCTTAGCAATATTTTCTGATAAGAGAGCCAGCATGATCAGTTCAAGTGAAAGTTACAAGAGAAGATATAAACAGTGCATCATCTCTTATTGAAAAAACGATCCAAATTAGAGCAACTGCTACTTGATTTCTTATACGACGTGTTTTGAAGTTCTCACATGACGGGCAATATCATATCAGCCAAAGTGAGAAATGCATATGTCAGTACGAAAAAACATCGCAAAAAACTTTTGGGGAATGCGGAAATACAATCCTCCCCTTTGGGGATACGGTAATGTAATCGAATTCCTTTTTATAATATTTTTCGTACGTTTGAAAGTACATTTTGCCTTCATTAGACACCCTAGAAAACAGAAAAATCGAAGAAAACTCAAAGCTATCGGCCATATGAAAAGTAAAGAATGTAAACAAGTGAGAAGCACAAACTTAGCTGTCCTAGAAAGTTGCTACAGAGGAAGGAGAAAAAGCCTTACTTAAAGGAAATGCGTTTACGAATCATATGCAGGAGGAAGGACAAACTTTATTATTATTTTTTTAAAAATTTAATGGAACCGAGGATTACGGTTTTCATCCAATATTTTTTGGTCTTAATGAAAAAAGAATGATAAGAGTTGTACGGGAGAAAATAGCAGATGACAGAAACAATAGTGTATAAATAAATGCTTCAGTATTTGGCAGAATGGAGTTCAATTATATACCGATATTGTCCGTCAAGCCGGAGTCGAACCAGATATCATAAAGTATTAAGCTGATTTTTTATTACAATACATATTTAGTTTGGTTACTTTTTAAGAAAGAACTGAAAATGCAAAAAATACTATTGGATACAAAACTTGTGGTTTCTCTTTCACAGATACTTTGGTTATATAAAAAGTATTAACAGAGAACCAGAATCACACAATCCATATAAAGAAATGTGTTTATCTCAGTGTTAATGCTTACCGATAACCTCTACATTAGACAAAATGTATTTGTTACTTTTCATCTCCTCCTAGATATTTGTAGTTATTTAATGAATAGTTTCGAATGGAGATTCAAAATGAGTCCATTACCTAATTAAACACAGAAATTGTGGAATTAAATATAGCCGACAGACGCCTCAAATGTAAAAAAAGATGTTTGCAATACGTAAAATATATTGCCTACAGTATTTTTAAAGTGAATGGATAAAGAGCGTGTTTTAAGATTTTCAATTAAGACTAAATTTTTTTTTTTTGGGGGGGGACAACATTTTAGTTATATATCTAAAAATATAAATTTTTTTTATCACTTTTTATACATTGTTATGAATGAAGCTTACAAAATAAACAAAGAAAATTCCTTTTAAAATTGCCTCATGCAATATGAAATTTATCTATATAAATAAAAATGTAATGAGTGTTTGTTCAAAGCCGCTAATCTCCGAAACTACTGAACCATTTCCTCTGAAATTTTGACATAACGTTGCATTTG